ATATATATATATATGAGGAGGGGGCGGCGGAGGGGCTTGCAGGCGGCAGCAAGACGAGGGTGGAGGGGATCATTTTTACGTCCTTTTTTTTTTTTTTTTCTCTCTTCCCCTCCCGCACAAACCGAGAGAGAGAGAGAGAGAGAGAGAGAGAGAGAGAGAGAGAGAGAGAGAGAGAGAAAGCAAACAGTTTTATTTACTTTTATTTTTTATTTTTTATTTTTGTGTGATGTGTTGTTACTTCTTTTCCCCCTTCCTCACGGTGGATTTGTGGGTGGAGGTGCGGCGGCAACGTGTTGCGTTCTCGCACAGACGTAAACTCCTCCCGATTCGACCCGTCGCGGTCGCTGCTCTGGCAGGGAGGGAGGGGGGAGGGGGGCTTCTGCGTGCGTGGGGCTCTTTTTTTTTTTTTTTTTTCCTTTTATCTTTGTCTCGCGCCTGCCTGCGCAGCAGCGACGACGACGACGGCCGGAAGAAGAAGGAGAAGATGAGGGCAAATCAACAAAAAGAAGAAGAATTCAGCGGGTGAAACAAAACAGAATGAACCGATGTACCGAGGCGTTCAGGATCTCTAGAGGGTGTGTGTGGGTGTAAGGGTTGGTTGGCGCTGCAGGCACCCGCGGCATGGGGGAAAGAAGGAGAGTGAGAAAAAGAAGGAGACATGACACGATGCAAAGCGAAAAGTAGGGGGAAAATAAATATTAATAAATAAATATTAATAAATAAACACGCCAATTTCATTTTTTTCTTTTTTTTATTCCCGTTGCGTTGTTTTTTTTTTTTTTTTTTTTTTTCACGTTTCCCTCCCCGTGCTGCCCTTTCGTACGGGGGTAGAGGCGCCTTCAGTGTACTTTTATTGAGCACACGGAGAATACCAACGAGGAAGCGACAAGTAAACACACGATGTAATAGCGCTTACTGTAATCAGCAACAAATCATTTGGTCAACCACGAGGGGGGGATGGGGGGATGGGGGGAAATGGAGGAGAGGGGTACAATTAAACATCCTTCACCACTGCACAGGCTATGACGTCCTTCAGAGCTGCGATATATATACATATATATATATATATATGTTGACGGCCTCGTCTTGGGAAGAACTGTCAATTCTAATCTTTTTTTTTTTTTTTTCTGTTTCCCCTCCATCATACCCTGTGCCGAGGCCAACGGGACCTCCTGGTTGCTATCGTTGCACTGGTCAAACAACCAGCAGCCACCCCCAGCCGTGCACGCACATGCACACAGCTGTGACAGGAAAACACAGGCCCGCTGCTTCCTATTCCATTTATTATTTTTATTTTTGCTTCGCTTCTTCTTTTCTTTTTTTTATCCCACAGGGCAGAGGAGTGTACCTTATTTCCTTTTCCGCTTCAATTCTGCGGAAGGGATGCCACCGACTGCGGACGGCCGGGCGTGCCCATTGGGGGATGTGCCGCTTCGTGCGGTCTTGCGCCGCTCATTGGAGGAACCACCGGGCTCGCCGC